TGCCCGGCCACTGGCATCACCCTGCCTCCCCTGGTAAGCCTCCATCCCCGCAGGTGTCGGGCATATGGACCTGGCTGCTCTGTGCATCTGGGTGACGGGTACCATTGCTGGGACAATGCTGCTGCCCCGCAGATCATCCGGAAGGTGATGAAGCAGTACGCCATGCTGGACGTGGACGAGCCTGTCTCCCAGCTCCACAAGTGTGCCTTCCAGTTCCAGGGCAGTGATCGCATGTACTTGTGTCTCTCCACGGAGAAAGTGATCCAGTTCCAGGTATGGCAGTGTGAGGAGGAGCAAGGATGCTGGGGGTGCCCCACATCCTCTCTCCAAGCTCCTCTGTGTTTCCAATGTCAGGGGAATATGTCACTGGGAGGGGTCTTCCAGCGAAGGGGGGGTTTCATCCAAAGTAAGAATCACTGCAAAGCCGTCTGCCTCCAGCTTGCCTGCTTCAGCGGGGACATCGTCACCGAGGTCTTTGCAAAGTCACCACGATCCCCGTATTGCAGCGAGCGAAGCGGAGGCACTGAGTCACTGGCTGGAACAGAGATGCTGGGGGCAGAAGCCAGATGTCCTGGCCCCAGTCCCCCACGGTGCATTTGGAGCTGTGACGCTCTCCGCAGGCATCTCCCTGTCCGAAGGAAGCCAACCGGGAGCTGCTGAATGACGGCTCCTGCTGGACCATCATCGGCACCGAGACGGTGGAGTACACCTTCTGTGAGAGCCTGGCCCGCGTCCGTGAGCCTGTCAGCCCCGTGCCGCTCATCGCTGCCCTCCAGGTAGGCACAGCACCCGCCACCGGCCACCCCACCTTTCCACCACCTGCCTCCGTCCTGGCTCCTCCTGCTCAGCACTTGCACCCACACTCAGCGTCTCCTGGTTTTGGGATGCTTTGGGAATGCCTGAGTCTGTACTGCTGCAGCAGGGATGGGACACACAGGCAGAGCATCCTGCGGGAGGAGGAGTCTGGCTCATTCCACTCCATAACACGTGCCATGCACTCTGCCCGGCACAGCTCACGGGCGGCGGGGACGTGGCCATGCTGGAGGTGCAGGGGGAATATTTCCACACACACCTCAAAGTCTGGTTCGGAGACGTGGAAGCAGAGACGATGTACAGGTAACGTAGCTGAGGGGGCCAGGGAGCAGGCAGGGAATGGC